TAAGTACTAGGGTTTTTGGGCCCACCCCCAAGTTTTCAAAAACCTTCAAAAAATCACTTTTGAACTGAAATCTGCCACTTTTCTGACCAAGAATAAGTTTTTTTAAAAATCCTCCTGAAGTTCCCTAACACTACGTTTAAAATAAAATTACCAACCAAATCTTTGTGTCATCGGCGAATTTGCTCTAACACTAGAAAATTTCCCCATCAAGATCTTTTGATTATATTATAAACAAAAAACCGGGCCCAAGACTAAACCCCTGTGGAACGCCACTTTTTACAGATCCCCACTCGGTTTTAAACCCCCATTTGGACACCCCTCTGCTTCCTGCCCAGTGACCCATGACTCGATCCACGAGAGCACTTTTCCCCCCAATGCCATGAGTTTGGCCACTTTCTTTAACATCTAGGGGGCGGAACTCTATCAAAACCTTACTAAAATCTAAGTAATAAATAAAAATTCCCTTTTTGGGGGGGGGGTCAACCCTTTCAAAACTTTACTGAAGAAAGTTAAAAATTAGTTAGAAAAACCCCGGCCTTTTTGTGAATCCTCCCTGATATCTTAATCAACTATGTTTTATCGAGATGGCTTCTTAAAATCTCAGCTATAATTGACTCAAAATTTTGGGCCTACAATTGGGGTCAGGCTTTTTGGGCGGAAATTTTGACGGTAACGACTTGTCCCCTTTTTTAAAAAAATTTAAAGGGTTACCATTAGCCATCTCCACATATCAGACACTACACCTGTTTAAAAAGAGAAAAAATTAAAAATATTATTAAATTTTTTTTCACAGGGGTTCCTTTGGGGGGGCTTTCCTTTTAAAAAAGAACTTTTTAAAAAAAACCTCATAAACCCGGGGGCGACTTATTTGTTTCCCAGTCTGTCTTCTCCTCACAACCATATCACTATGCCCTGTAAATGTTACATAATTTATCTTTTTCTAGCCCACTGAAAAAATTTAAAATTACTGGAATATTTTTTAGTGTCTTCCGTGAAAAAAAACTGAGAAAAAAATAATTTTTTAAAAATTTCAAGCACATTTCATTTTTCATTGTCAAAAGGGTTTCCCAAATTTTTTTTAAAGGGGGACCAAAACTTTCTCTAACTTTTGTTCTATAGCCCCTGGAAAAAACTTTTTGGGTTAGTTTTAGAATCCCTACAATTTTAATTTCATAGTCCCTTTTAGTTTTTTCTTACCCCCTTTTTAATGCCCCCTCTTAATGCCCAATATACGGGTTTCAAAAGATGACCCTCACCTCTTTTGAAAACGCCAAAAATTTCCCTTTTCTTTTTGCCCTAGTAATATTTGAGCCTATTATTCATCCTTTTTGGGTCTTTTCCTATTTAAATCAAATTTTTCTTTATATGGGAAAAACCCCCTTTTTTAAACAGCATGTTATTTGTTCAAAAACTGCCCATATTGATAGCTCTCTTCTTTACCCCAGTCAACAATAATAAGTGTTCTCAAAACCCATCGAAATTCTGCTAAGCAAAAATCTGGGCTTTTAAACGATTTATCGCTACTATCCGAAACTTCCTTTCAATCCCAAAATTTTTAATTGATTGGGGGCCCCGCTAGCACCCAGTTCCCTAAAATTTCCTAAATTATTAACAAGGGTTTCTTTGTTTGCCATAACTAAGTCAAGCGGGTTTATTTCCCCTTTAGGTTCTTTTCACAAATTTGCTTCAAAAAACAATCCTGAAATATTTTCTAAGAAGTCAAAACGATTCAAATTCCCAGTCAAGAAATTCCAATCAACATGACTAAATTTTAAAGTCCCTAGAATTACTAAAATTATCGGGGCCTTGGGGCCCTTTAAAAATTTCCCTTTCCCATATATTTCCCTTGGCCCCCTACCCTAAGAAAGGGGGACGGTAAAAAATCACTCCTAAAATCAGTTTTTTATCCCCCCTTCTGAAAATTCTATCCCCAAAAAGACTCTGTATGTGTTTCTTTTTAGAAAATTTAAAACCCGTTTTTATCAACAGTTTCCCAAACGATCTCGGGCTTTCAATGCCCCCCCCCCCCCCCCCCCAACCCCCCCCCCCTCCCAATACTTCTATCTTCTTGGAAACAATTTTAAAACCCCGAATATACATTCCGCAGGCATTCCCGACTTTTTTTAATTTAAAACCCCCTCCAGTTAAGGCAAAAAACATTTAATGTTACCTACACTAGCAAATAAACTCAACTCGTCCATCTTTTTCCTAGCACACGGCAATTAAACATAAAAACATTGAAAGGGCTCCCTTTCTTTTTTACCCTTCCTGCTCATTTATTTTTTTTACTAAACCTTTTTACTGCCTTATCACCCCCAAAGGGCCCCGGCTTTTCAATATCTAAAACCCCCGTTTTCAAATTTTTACTATTCCCCTAGAAATCGTAAAATTACTTTCACCCGGGACTTCACTGTTTTTTTCCCGCCAAAACCCATACCACTTTTTAAATATTTCCCATTTTAAAATCCTAACTGCTCCCTCCCCTGCAGTTGCCAGTGCTCCCACCCCAAAACCTAGAAAAGTGGGAAACCCCCCCTTTCCCAGCATACAAAGTCATTTCTTCATAGAAGAGGTCCCCGTTGTCCAATGAATTTGTTACCGCATTTTCCTTACAGTAATTTTTTTCCAGCCAGCAAAAGGGCAACCCAAATTTCCCTGGACAACCCCTTTTACTTCCAACTCCCCTCCTTGGCCCCAAAAAAAACCACATAGAAGGGTTTTCCCCCCCTTAAATTTTAATTATTTCTAAATTTCGACCTAACCTGCTAATCAGGTCCTCACCCTACGTCCCCCAACATCGTTTGGGGCCCCCCCCCGCAAATGAGACAGATAATAGGGTTGCCCCCCATTCCTCTCATGATGTCATCCCGACGGCAACAAAATCCTTTTCCCTCCCACCCCAGGGAAAGCAAAAATCCCCTTTCTCCCTACTCCGTCCTTCAAGCCGAACCCCTAAACCATATACCTAACTTGGGGTATCCCCAAAAAACAACAATATTCCTTTTTCCTTCCTTTTAAAGTCTTTCTTTTGTGTCGTTTCCCCTAGTCAAATCAAAATTCGTCCGGTAACACTGAGAATGTATTTGGAGTTTCCACAACATTTCCCCCGGCAGTCCCCTTTCCCCCCTTTATCGTTTTTTACCTTTTTCCCTTCGTCTTTTGATCGTCAACTTCTTTCCCTGCTGTCCCCGCCACTGACCATTTTCCCTTTTTGACCCGAGGGCCCCAACACAGGAGGATTACTACGAATCTTCCCTTTTTTTCCTCGGTCAAAACGCCGAATTTCCAAATTCGCCAACCTCAAATTTTTCCCTTTAACTGTTGGTAAAGTTTTTTCGATGGAGGCATCTTTCTTTTAAATTTTAGAGAGCGCGCAAACAGGGCTTCCCCAGAGCCAAGTACACGTCAACCGGTGATAGGCCCAAAAAGCCCCTACCAAAAAATAAAGCATATTTCCCTGGGACGCGAGACTGAACTCACGGAAAAACCCAAAAGTGGGGTTCAAAGCCACCTTATCTTTTAGGGCAAAGTAAAAGTGGATGTCCTTACACCCAAAAAGAAGCAAATTTTTTTTATTCCCTTTTAAACCAGGGTAGGGCTAAAAGCAAGCAAGTTTGTATAACAAAAAAAATGGAGAAAAAAAAATTGGGGAAAGAAATTATGCAGCAAATAGCACCACCAAACATAGCAGCAGGTTGAATTTGGGGACCTTGGGTATTTGAAATTTTACTAGCCGAAATTAGTGCTAGAATTTCTGATGGAACCGGATAACCCGCTGCCGGATTAAATGGGTGGCCGACCTGAAATATGGCCCTTTTAAAACAAGGGGCTTTTAAAAAAATTTTCAATTTTTTGGTTTCCCACAGGATCCCGGAACCCCAAATTTTCCCGTAATAGAAAGGGGTACTGTAAAATCTTATAACATTTAGAAAAAACCCGTACTGCAAAAAATTTTTGACATGGCCCAAATGCAATTTAAAGGATGGAGAGGAAATCTCCAGGCATCCCCCTCCCCATACTAAATGATAAAATAAAGGACAAGTTTTTCTCATAGGCCTCAACCAAACCCCAAAGATTGGGTTTTCAATCCAAAGGGATAAAATAACTCCTTTTTAGACCCAATAATTTAATTTGTAAACTATTTTGTATAAAAAAATTAAAAACCCAAAAAAAATAATAATAAACCCTAAAAAAACTGTTGGGGCTGAGCAGTGGTAGGGTTAGGTAAACCCCCCTGATGGAGTTGGGTGAAAATACCATAGTATCAGTACAAATAAATTTACCTGTCAAATTTAAAAAAACTGGGGGGTTGGTTGAATAAAGTAACAAGTCCAAAATTTTTTTCCCAAAGGGCCCTCGAAAAAAAAATAAATCGAGAATTTTGACTTATCGCTCAAGTAAACAAGTTAAAAAAATTGTTGAAAAAGGCGCCAATTTCCCAAAAATTCTCAGGGGAGTAATTTACTCTCCCCTGCTCTCCCCCTAGCTATGCCCCCTGGGCCAAAAATTGCATGACCAAAAGGATTTATAGCCTTAAATCTTTTGGGGGGAAAAAGGGTGGGGTCCCCCCCAGGATGGGTTAAAGGGATATAAAGATGTATTGGAGTGCTAGGGGCTTGAACATCCAACAGGTTTATTTGAGTAAGTTAGATCAAAGATGAGCACAGTGGCTTTTATGGCTTGACATGATGTTGAGTGTGAGAAATGACATTTTATACAGGGCTTAAGGGAAACTGATTAACCTGTAGATCAGAAGTACAGTGCCTGCCGTCTGGAGGGGATGAAGGTATTGCAGCTCTGAGGATCATTTGATTATTTTCATTATTATAAAGTGCTAAACCTGAAACCAAGAGGGTCATCTGAAGTGTGATGACTACTCGTAAGACAGCAATCAAGTTAATGGTGAATGGTTTTTATTTTAGTTTCTTTTGGGGGGGGTCTCTCCTACCTCAGTGGGAGATGATCAGGGTAACAAAAAATTGAACACAAGTAAAGCTTACCACATAATAATAATCATCTTGATAAGGACTCTCTGAATGTAACTGCATAGCTTGGATATACTTCAGCCACCCCTTCTCCCGTGGAGTCATAAGTCCACAATATTCATCTTGCTCCCGGACACGATGCCACTCCTCCCACTCAGCTTCACTGTCCCGACGAATTCGTCCTGGGTGTAATGAATAGTCTTCTCTAGGGTTGCCAAGCCGATCATATTGACTGAAAATAATTTTTTATACTTTATGCTGAAGTAATGCAATCAACTGGGATATAAGTAGGAACTATGTAGAAAAACAAAGTTTTAGTAAACTCATAAATGATCTTTATGAATACAAAGGATTTTAAAAAGTGTAATATGACTCACTTTTTGCCCTGGTCAAAACCTCTGTTTTGCTCATAAGATCTTCTTTCAATATTTCTACGATCAAAACCATTGCCATGTCTACCTTGGTCATAGCCATTATGAGTTATATATCTTCCGTCTTGGTTACGGCTATGGTAAAAACTTTGCTGTTGTTGTTGTTGCTGCTGTTGCTGCTGCTGCTGTTGCTGTTGTTGTTGAAAGTGATTATTATGGAAGTTATTGTGAAGATGGTGGTAATTATTGTAACTCTCATGATTCTGATTATTGTACGAGTGTGCCTGAGAATGCAGTTGTAAAGGATGCTGTGTGAAGTTACTCTTATCATTTCCTGGAAAACAGTTCATAAATCGTTGCTGCTGCTGCTGTTGTTGTTGATATGGATGCTGCTGGTGTGAATATTGTTGCATAGATCCCTGGAAGGCCCCTGGAAATTAAAAAAAAAAAAGTTACTGTGCCTGTATTTCAAAGACTAACAAATGCCAGAAATTTAAATTCTTAAATTGTTATATGTTGCATCCCCAGCCTTCTCCTATATTACACTTGCTTTAACCCTTTCAGGGTCTGTGCCTTAGATCTACAGCTATATGTTGAGGGTCCAAACCATAGATCTATGCCATGAGCTCAGGTCACTCTGATAACCTATGAGTGGTAAATTTGGGCCTAGATATGAGAGAATATGTCTATGTGGTATGTGTGCACCAAATAAAACAAATCCTGCAGCACACAGTGCATAATGAGAAAAAAAACCGAGATGGTAATTTTCGATTAAAACAGCGACTTTGCAGTGTTTTTTCATATGTTTTTTATAGTTGTATTTGCAATTTCTTGTCTCATCTGATAGAATGGAACATATATTACAGAAATAAGGAAGATTTTGATTAGTTTTATTAATGGAAATTGCTTGAAAATGAGCTCAAAGAAGCAGAAATGTTCAGTTTTTGCCGATGTTCAAGAGTAAACAAATGACCTCACACGTCTAATATACATTCACAAATGTGCTGATATTATTTATACAATTATTACAATACTGCATAACAGTAAATCTTCTATTTTTTGGTTTGAATAAAAATTCATTATGCAAAAATAAAAATGGAATTCATTTGTAAAACCTGAAAACATAACTAATGAACAGAGGAAATGTTAGTTTAGTGCCAGGAATGCCTGCATTGTTTATTCTGGACCCTATTTTGAAACTGGAATATTTTGAACTTTGCATTAAATTGGACAAATTACTAATTTCCAATCACTTTATTTTGTAATTGAAACAGTTGACTTGGCGATTTCTTGTGCTCAATGGATAGAACAGAAGTAATACTACTGAAATAGCTAAGAATTTGGTCAACTGGAATAATGTAATTGGCCTAAAATGTGAGTCAAAGTCAGCAAAATCACCGATACGTAAATATCGCTGACACCAAAATTTGCGAGAGCTTAATTTCGTCAATTTTCCATCAAATCTCGTATTTTTTGTTTTATTACCTTCAGAAAAAGATTCTCTAGCATTTCATAAGAAAAAATAACAATTATTTTCTGAAAATTCTTAAACCCTGGTGCACACTTAGAAATTTGGCCTCTGGACCCTGAAAGGGTTAAATTACGAATTCATAATAAAAAAAATCGAAGATTTACCCTATTTCTAAAATATAATCTGGAATTAGTCATGGTTTATGGCATCCCAAGAACTAAATCAGTCCTTTTAAAAACCCACAAGAAACAGATCAGGGGTGTAGCAGGCCTTACGTCTTCAAGAAAATCAGCAAAAACCTAATATTTCCGCTAATTTGAGCGCAATTTCAAGCTACTTCTGGTCCTGAAAATAAGTAAAATCATTCTATTTCAGTAGTATATCTTCTATTCTATCAAATGATACCAAAAAACAGCCAATAAAACCATAAAAAATCCAAGAAAACATCTTACAGTTGCTGTTTTAAACCAAACACACAATCAGAGTTTTGCTTATTGCATCATGCACCACATGGGGCAGGATTTTACTGCTCACAGCTGTGTTCAAAACACACATCAACAGGAGGTACCCTGACAAATACAGTAGATCTACATTGTGAAAGCCTTTCATATACCAACTTTTTCTCTTGCTACCCACTTTACCTCATCATTCTACCAATTGCTACTCTTTCCTTCTGCATCCACCATCCTATACCCAAGACAACAGTACATTAGTGTTCGCAATACAGTTAACAGAATCCTTGGCTTCATATCTAGAAGTATAAATAATAGAAGTCCTCAGGTTGTTTTTCAACTCTATATATCCTTGGTTAGGTCTCATTTAGACTATGCTGCACAGTTCTGGTCACCACATTACAGAATGGATATAAAAGCTCTGGAAAACGTACAGAGGAGGATGACAAAGTTGATCCCAGGTATCAGAAATCTTCCCTATGAGGATAGACTGAGGGCCCTGAATCTGCACTCTAGAAAAGCGTAATTAGGGGGCATTTGATCGAGGTGTAAAAATGGAAAACAGAAATAAATAAAGGGTATGTAAATAGTGTGCTGAAAATTTCCAGCCAAGACAGGACTCACAGTAATGGTTTCAAGTTGGAAAAATTCAGATTCAGGAATCATATAGGAAAGCACTGGTTTGGTAAGAGTTGTGGATGAGTGGAACAAACTCCCGAGTACAGTTATAGAGGCTAAAACGTTGTGTAGTTTTAAAAATAGGTTAGATAAATACATGAGTGGGTGTGGGTGAGTGAGGGCTGGACCTGACTAGCTTGTGCTAATAGGTCTGATGCTGTGCTCCTTTCTTAAGTGGAAGTGACCTGACTAGGTGGGTCATTGGGTAAACCAGGGGGGAGGGGGCGGTGCTTTTCA